CAAAAATCTCCCAAAAAATCCAAGTGCTCCACCTGCTGTCTGCATATGAAAACACACACTATGCAGTACATATGCAATATTTTACCCCATTAAAAATATATTTTAAAAATATGAAAAGTTTTTTTGGCCATTTACATAATGTATCAAGAAAATATGTACAAATCACTACACATTCCCCTTTTAAGCTAGGACATTTTTTCCTCTAAGTGGTACTTTTATCTGTATTTAACTATTCTATAGGCCAGTAGCATGGATTGAACTACTATTGCATATAACAGCAATTTACAGTAACCATGCACTGCTATACTTACTTATCATAGCATAAGAAAACTCCTCTACTCTCTTATTGATTCATAATTTCTACAAATTAGCAAATTAGCTTCAGGGTTGATTGCCGCCCCCACCCCCCATTTTTGTCACCCAGCACACTTTGGGGTTAAAGTGACATTAAACCCTCAGATTATTTAACATAAAACAATACTGTAATGTGTGCCTTACTGTAATGCATGGTTGTTTCCCTTCTCTTTGCTGCGCTTCCTTTTAAATCTGTATCTCTTCTCATGCTGGGCAGAACTTCTGTTTTCCAGCAGACTGCCTTGTCTCTGAAATGGATACATGGTGTCTGTGTGTAGGTTCACAACCTGAGCCAGCACTACAGGAAGAGGCATTCAGCTGCAAAGGGAAATTCTCCCCCAGCATGAGAAGAGATACGGATTTAAAAGGAAGAGCAGCAAAGAGAAGGGAAACAACCATGGATTACAGTAAGGCACACATTACGGTATTGGTTTATGTTAAAAAATCTGAGGGTTTAATGTCACTTTAAGTCATAAATCTTTCACCCAGCATATATATACCGACACTTTACATTTTTAAAGGAGAACTATGAGGTGAGTGCTTTTCACTCACCTCATAGTTCTAGCACGTCAGCTGTGAAGTCTCGCGCTTGCTGGGGACCTTGCAGCAACCTTTCTGGGGACCATACAGAGCTTCTGCCGCCCACATATCTTCCCCTGCTGAGACCCTCTGAACCTCTCCAGATCAGCTGACAGGAGAAGAGAAGACACTGTCAGGGAAGTGCACCGTAATGATGGGAGAGAGGTTCAGGGAGCAGTGGATAAAACAGCTGTGGGACGTCCAGCCATGATGGGCTTACTGCACAGAAGCCACAGCTTGAGTGAGAGCATCAAGCCATTGGCAGGTACGAGTCACCCTCCCTGGCCGTCCTTCCTCTTTCCATATGATCTATAGATGGGCTCTGGTCATGTATTGTATTCACCTGCAGCTATCTATAGATCCACATTAAACGCATTTACTTCACCGGCTAGTCCCAGCACAGGAGCTGCCATGGATCTGCTTCTGTCTGCATGGAGGAAGTTTGGAAGCAGCTGATCTAAGGAAGACTGGCTGCACCCAAACACCGTAGCAGCCAGTCATGGTCATCCTCTATATGTAACTAGGGGAAATTGGAATCTGCAATTAAAGTGTATCTCTTGGTCAGCTGTTTCTACATTAGCATCCCTGTCCATTATATGAGAATCCTGGTGTCCTGTGCATAAGGGCACTACAGGTGTCAGCAGTCCCTGTCCATTTAATGGGACTAGCATTGTACCACGGCAAGCAGCAAGGTAATTTTTTTTTCTTCTTTGCAGAATCTCTGTACGGACCAATATCACACTGAGGATAAGTATCAACATTTCAGTCCAGGATCAGTATAATAATGCACTTTAGAGCAGTTATAATGGTGCATATAGCAGTATCCTATCAACACGAAAGAAAGGCGCTCTGTGTCTCACTGTGACAATACTGTCACAACAAAAAGCCTCTCTTTTCCATTCACATTCCAGACCACAGAATAAACCCAACGTGATTGACCATTCACCCACATTCACACTGCAACCAGCACACAGGATTCTGCAGCTTGCAAGCAATCAATGTGAACACAAGATGGTGATTGTACTAGACAGACAAAGCTTCTCTCCACAGTCAGAGAGGTGGGACAGAGCCAGGCTAACAGCCAGGGCTCGTCACTAATTGTTCCCAGGCTGCTAGATTATTCCAAGGATGGCTGTGTCTGGAAATGTCCCCAGGCATAGAGCCAGGGCTAGCGGGGCAGCACAGGGACACATAGGGGGCAGCAGAAAAGAGTAAGATGCTGAGAGGTGTACAGTATCTGGGGTGTAAAATGAATGGGGATTCTTTCACTGGTTAGAAGAAAAAAAATGGTAGAGCCAGGGAAATAAATGGAAAAAAATAAATAGAAAAGAGAAGATATCAAAGGGGGAAAATGAGACGTTAGATATAAAGAAGAGAAAAAGAGAGGAAGCAGAGAAATCAGAGTGAGAGAATCTGTATACAGTCACATCACTGGAGAGAAGCTATCACTGCTATCAGATAATAAAGGACTGTACATTGTGTGAAACAGACCAAAGTATATATTAGGGTGAGTGAGCAGAAAACACGTGGGGATGGATATAGACAGAGAGAGGATACTGAGAAGAAGAGAGCAATAAAAAAAGGTGAGGAGCAATGGGACAGTGAAAGGGAAGAGATAATACAAAAGGGTGAAAGCAGGACAATGGAAGGGAGAAGAGAGGAGGCTCATGATAGTAAGGGGAAAGAAGAGAGATAGAAAGGAGGAGAGAAGGCAGAGGCACAGTTTAGAAAGAAGATAGAGCGAGAAAGGAGGAGAGGAGACAGGAACACAGTATAGAAAGAAGAGAGAGCTAGGGAGAAAGAAGGAGAAAAGTCAGAGACACAGTATAGAGAGAAGAGAGATAGAGGGAGAAAGGAGGAGAGAAGGCAGAAACACTGTATAGAAAGATGAGAGAGCTAGGGAGAATGAAGGAGAAGAGGCAGAGACACAGTATAGAGAGAAGGGAGATAGAGGGAGAAAGGAGGAGAGAAGGAAGAGACACAGTATAGAGAGACGAGAGATAGAGGGAGAAAGGAGGAGAGGAGGCAGAGACACAGTATAAAGAGAAGAGAGATAGAGGGAGAAAGGAGGAGAGAAGGAAGAGACACAGTATAGAGAGACGAGAGATAGAGGGAGAAAGGAGGAGAGGAGGCAGAGACACAGTATAGAGAGAAGAGAGAGCTAGGCAGAAGGAGGAGAGGAGGCAGAGACACAGTATAGAAAGAAGAGAGAGCTAGGCAGAAGGAGGAGAGGAGGCAGAGACAGTATGCAAAGAAGAGATAGAGGCAGGATAGAAGAACAGAGAGAGAGAGAGAGAGCGATATTGTGAGGGAGAGAAAAGAGTGACAGGATAGAGGGGGAGAAAAAGGCACGAGGCAGGACAGGAAGGGGATGAATAGACATGTAGAGACATGCACAGGATACAAGAGAGAGAGTGCAGAGAGACAGACGGACAGAATAAAAACTGGTGTACAGGACAGAGAGAGAAAAGAAAAGGCAAAAAGAAGGAGCAGATGTAAAAGATGTGGGGGGGGGGGGGGGATTGTGAATGAGGGCTGGGAGATGGAAGTCATTTGGAAGATGGTAATAATATTAATCATGGTGTCCTGAGCAGTCAGTTAACCACTCAAGTATATTACTGCCTATTGACCTGTGTGCATCTACTTACACATGGATCTATTCTCTCCGATCTCCATCCCTCCTACATCCCATGTTCAGAGCATTGACATAGTCATATTTATATATTGATTATTGTTACTAACTCATTGCAGTTACCCTCCTTATATCTAGCAGAGGTTTATGTATATCTATCACACGTTCTATATAACTACTTGTCTCTATATTGCTGTGTGTACCTACCCCTATACCATTATCTGCACCTACCTCCCTACATACTGTATATAACTGTATATTCTTTTGGTACCTGCTTCCCTTCACAGCTCTCTGTTTATGCTTCTGCATACTTACCTCTCTATATACCTATCCGCCTCTGAATGCCTACCTTTTTACATATGTATATTTATAAAGCCCTGTAGAATTATCTCTCTTTATATCCCTCTACCTACCTCTCTACATACCTATCTGTATATACCCTGAATACCTAACCTCTCTTTATATCAGTCTGGCTTCCTAACTTATATCTATCCATTGATCCCTCTATACAAACATGTCTGAACATCCCTTTATATACCTGCCTCTCTACATACATGTCTGTACACCCCTTTATATACCTACCTTTCCTCATACCTGTCTGTACACCCCTTTATATACATACCTCTCTACATACCTTTCTATAAATCCCTTTATATACCTACCTCTCTACATAACTGTGTGTACATCCCTTTATATACCTACCTCTCTACATACCTGTCTGTACACCCCTTTATATACCTACCTTTCAAATACCTGTCTATGCATCCCTTTATATACCTACCTCTTTACATACCTGTCTGTACATCCCTCCATATACATTACCTACCTCTTTACATACCTGTCTGTGTCTATCTGTATATCCACTGCTCTGTATACCTATCTATATATACCTGTATATACCTACCTCTTCACATGCCTTTCCATGTATATTTCTGCATACCTACCTATCTAGATCCATATAAGCACTTACGTCTCCATATATCTATCTGTGTTTTACCACTCTACATACTTAAAAAATATGTGTATTTCTGCATACCTTCCTTCATAACTGAACATCCTTATTCCCTTGTCCCGTGCCTCTCTCCATACATACCTACCTACTTGTACCTGTGTGTATGTCTCTTTACATACCTGTGTATCCCTTGGTATCTCTAGACTGTATAGCTACATCCAGGCACCTACCCACATACTATCGCTGTACTGCTCCCCCTGTATACCTACCTATCAGTATCGCAGTCTATTACATTATTCTCTATGAGCCCCTTTAGGCCTTTCTTTATTAATCTAAGGTGCAGCTATGTTTCTTTTATTACTCATGCAAACATATTTTGTATATTCTAAGACACAACCGCTACATTTCCTGTCTTAGTTAATGTATATTTTGGTCCTGATGTATACGGTCCTTTTCCTCCAGGAGGTATGGAAGCAGACTCACCCAGGCCTTGCTCTATCACAGGCTGCTGTCCTTGGTCCTGATTCACCTGATGCTGAGACCTAGTCCTCACCTCCTCCTTATCTGGTGGGTTCTGGTCCTGATGCTGTGTCCTGCTATCAATCGGATGATGGTCCTGATGCTGATCCTGTTATCCTGATGTTTTTTCTTTCGTTCCTGCGTCACTGGGATGCTGGGGAACTGTGCAGATAATGAGAGGGAGGAGATAAAGGAGGAGGGGGAAGCCACAGAAGAGGAGGCAGGGAGAGCAGACATCAGAGGAGGGCTGTATGTTCTAGAGGAAAACACAGACCATGGACAGCTAGGAGACACAAATACATAAAGAGGGCGTAATCAGACAGCAAGAGACCTAAGCAACGGTAGAACGAGACGGCAAGGGACTTTTATACAAAGGAGGAAACAGCAAGGTTGTAAGAGATTAAGAAAGACCTATACATAAGGGAAATAAAAAAAGGTGACAATGTAACATTTGTAAAGACATCAGTCGTATTTAATATGGTGAAACGCAACGTGTAAAATACAATAATGCATAGCAGACAATTAGCATTAGTATTGCATTGCCTTTGCTGTTGAAGGGAAATTCCACCTTTTAAAAAAAAAAAAGTAAATGTACGCTTCTTCATAAAAGATAAAATGTGCATTTATTATTTTTTTTCCATGGAAGACAGTAAAGCATTGCAACCGCGATCAGTGGATCATGAGTCCAGTGCTCTGGGTCCTGCAAACTCTTCCTCCTGTCCATGCTACTGAATGTCCCTACCTTGGTATGGACATTCAGTAACATGTACGGGAGGAAGTGTCAATGGACTACAAGTGCCCCTGCGGTGGCTAAATGAATGGATGACAAGGCTTTGTGGGCAGAGAACACACAACCGCTCTGAATTCAAACAGGTAAACAAGCCAGCGGGGAGAATAACCCTGCGATTCTGGTAAGTGGGGGAACTCTGGAATTTTCGGATCTGATCATATTTCATGTTATACCCTAAAAAAGGATGTAACATGAAATATGATCAGAAAGGGAAACTTAGCCTTTAAAGGTGAAGTCTCATTGGTCGACATAAGATAAAAAACTTGTCTTATCATCATTGTACTCTGTGCTGTCTTTTTTAATAAGGTGAGGTGAGAGGGACAATAAGCATTACACAGATAAAAGAAATGGCAATGTGCCCACAAGAAAAGGAGAGAACAGACAACAGACTTTCATAAAAAAGGAAAATACATATTTAGACTCCTGGACACCAAAGTAACTATTTATGGCCAGATTGGGGGTAACAGTAACATGTCTGTGGGACACCTCTGACCATGGCCAACATCCCATTGTCCAAGCTTTCTTGGGGACAAAGTCAATTAGCCAGGGTGGATTTTTTTCTGGCCAGTTGTTATTGCCTTACCCAGTGCCGGGGATGCCTTCTGATAAGTATTCTAGTACACTGGGCACTAACTTACTCACTTGCCCAACATACATGCTTGTATAAATATTGCTTGTTACAATGATTGTTTAGCAGCTGTATTTTTATCCTCTGTAGGCCCCTTAAAGTAATTCTCCGTGCTCTGGAGATCCTGTCCATGTGACCCTGCCTGACACACGCACATACAAAGGCACTGATACAAAGACACACATACGAAGGCACAGCCTTCGTATGAAAAAAGTACCATCCAGCCCCGGTGGCCATAAATTATTCCTATTACTGGGACTACCATGAGTATGGCTCCAGCCATAGGATGAACAGGAAGTGGCCATTACTTTTTTGGCATAAAGGCCGGACAGCCAGTCAGGGCCTCACAGTACTGATCTCCGCAGTGGGGCTGAAGGGAAATATTTTACCATGTGGGTTGCTCTGAGTGTTTAGGATGGAATCAGTAAAATACAAATAAAAGTGAAGCTGTGCTTTAAACTTTTATACATTCGTTTTAACATTGTATTTGTCCTTTTGTCCTAATGTCTAAGACAGGGGTAGGCAACCTTGGCGCCCCGGCTGTTGTGAGTCCCATAAGGAATTGCAAGACTCTGACATGACTACCAGAGGTAGACGTGGGATTTGAAGTTTCACCACAGCTGGAGTGCCGAGGCTGCCTACCTGCCTACCCCAGATCTAGGAATACCTACAGACCTATGCTGGTTTCCAATACCCCCTTCTGCCCATTAATAATCCATTAGTAAAAAGGAAAGAACTTCATACTACAGACTTAACAGTAGTCCTTAACAGACTACAGGTTTATCATGCTATATAACCCAACAGTGGAGAAGCCAGATTTCAATATGTCTTTACACACATGGTTTGAAATAAGCTCAGTAATTGTGGTACTTTTACTGAAGCTTTGCAATCATTTCAGTATTCATAATACACAGGACGCTGCATTTATAATGTTACAGATTCAAGAAAATCTTGCTGTAATCATTGCTGAGCCAACCTTGTAAGTATGCTTGAAAATCTCTGACACCAATGGGTGGTTATCCCGGCTGTCGAATGTCATATCACAAGTAGTTTTTTTTTTTAGCACTTTTGTTGCTGACAGCTCTGGCAATAGATAAGGGAAATATGCCAGATAAGGGGTTATCATAGCCTTGGGCTCTAATGCATCTTTCACAATGCAGTGCGCTGCATTATCACACACGCAGTACACTGCATGTTAGTGCAATGTACTAAGTGTGAAGAAACTCTTATCTACTCAGGCAACATGTAGTAGTCATCAATCTATCTTGCATGACCTCAATGCTAAAAACAATATGCAGTTGACTACTACAACAGGGTTACTGAATGACAATGTTCAGCTTACTACTCGCAATTAATCGCTTAGATTTTTGGCATAATTGAGCTACTAAAATGTATTGTGCAGCACTTATCTGCGGGATGACTGCCAGCAGGTGGTTAAATAGTGGTTAAGTAGAGTAGAGTGGAGTAAAATTGAATGGCTTAGAGGTTGTATTGGATTCCATTTAAACCTCTACGTTTAAAACACATGTACATAGGTAAGCCATATGTTTCAATGGTGCTAGCTTTGCTGCAGATGTATGCAGAAGTGACAGATGTCTTGCGTCTGTATTTTATTATGGGGTCATTTAAGAGACACTTTATGTTGTAGTTCAGGGATAGGCAACGTCTGCATCCCAGTTGCAGTGAAATTACAAATCCAATCATGCCACTGGTACTGGTAGTCATGTCTGTGGCTGTTAGGAGTCTTGCAATGCCTCATGAGATATGCAGTTGCAACACAACTGGACTAGTCTTTGAAACAAAAAAAAATGCCACACTATGTTTCAACCCCTCAATGTAAATCCGTTTAAATGTAAGAACACTGTATGGCTGTGCACATTTCACAAAGTAGTAACTTTTAAAAAAAAATTATTATTGTGGTCAACATGTGTATCTGTTAGTACTGTAGTACATTATGTCGGCTAAACAAACTGAACCGGTCTTTAAAAATCAACAAGCTATTAGCCACAATGCATTATCATCCCCATGATCACTGAAAGCATGACTATATACACTTTAAATGTGATTTAAGTTTGCCTGAGCAGCACACAGCATCCCCCTTTCCCCATGGCACAGGTGCAGTTTATGGTGCCATATACTTAGAGTAACTAGCCCCCGGCCACATTTGCATTTATTGTAGTTTTTGCCATGCATTGCTTATGCCACAAAACTCAATAAGACTACAATGTGCACAGATGGTAAACCCACTTAAAATGCAAGCCATTTTTCCATAAAGCCATGCCGTGTTTGACTCGCATCAGACGGTCTAACCCTTAAGCCTCGCTCACAAGGGTTTTAGCTTGTATAAAAGCAGTATGTAGAGCAAGCTTTTGGAAAACATTTGCAAAGTGTTCGGCAAGCTCTAAGAAGTTTGGCTGAAGCTTTTAAAGCACCAGTATGGGGAAGTTAAACACAGATCTTAATGGAAGTGCTGACTGTCACTTTAACAAAGCTGCTGGCATGCGTCAGTACTACTTGAAGCTTGCTGAAAGCAGCTTGTTTAAGGTGAGTCAGCACTCCTTTTAAGATCTGTTTCATTTCCCCCATACTATTATTATTATACAGGATTTATATGGTGCCAACAGATCGCACAGTGCTTTACAAAACTGAAGGAGACAATACAATTAATAATTTCAGTACAGGAGGTAAGAGGGCTCTGCTCGTGAGAGCTTACAATCTAGTATGAGGGGCAAGTGACACCTCAACAAAGCTGCTGAAACTTGCTGTAAACTGTTCTTATTCAGGATGAAGCCCATGTGAGCTTATAGAGCAGCTGAAGCCATTTTTTTTTTGTTTGGATGGAGTGGGGAGGGATTAGAATACCTAGAAACACCAGCACTCCAGATGCAGATCAAATGCATCTATTTATCGATGTAAATGCCGCATATAACACAAGTGCAATGTTTCAAGGTCCCGAAGGATCCCCTGAGGAAGGGGATCCTGGCAGACCCCAAAACGTTGCACCTGTGTGATATGCGGCATTTACAGCAATAGATAGATGCATTTGATCTGCATCTGGAGTGTCCCTATTTCTGTGTACATGACGATTGCCATTCGTTTACTCCATATGAATTGGGTGGGTGCAGCGGTGGTAAACAGTCAGGAGTGAGATGGGTTCATGGACGTCACTGGATTAGAATACCTGTCAGGTTTTTTTTGCGGTCCGTGTCCCCAACTATGGAGATTCACGCTCTCTATGTATCCTGGGGACCATTATCACTGAGAGTGTAAGAGAATCTCAAATTTTGGGTGGTCACAAGAAAAGGAACAGGTAGGAAATCTTCTAATGGAGACACTAGGTCTGGTGATCCTGCTGACCACCAGGGATGACCTCTCATTACTTCTTGTGGCCATCAGACAGGATGTGAAGGGAAATCTACATAATGGGACGCAGGTGGCAACAAAAACTTATAAAGGGTATAACCCTCCCTTTGCTAAATCCCACATTTAAGAAAAATGTTGTGGCTTCAGTTCTACTTTAAGCTAATGCTAGAGAGATTTAACTTGTTGCTGACTTAAAGGAGAACTATGAGGTGAGTCCTTTTCACTCACCTCATAGTTCTAGCCGACCTGTGACAATGAGACTGTCACAGGTCGGCTCAGTTGATCGGGAAGTGAGCGTTCGCTCACCTCTCGATCCTGTCACGGCTCTCTGCCGTGACAGGGAAGGGGCTGGATTCCCCCCTCCCCGATAGCGCTGGCAGAACGGACGGGGGCGGGTACAGCTGGCTCTGCATCTAGATAGGCAGAGCCAGCTGTCAGTCACGCAGCTGGGCGGATCCCAGCATAATTGTCGGGATCCGTTTCAGCTGTGGTGTCTCAGTATACCGCGAGCTACAGCTCGCGGTATACTGAGCCTAGGGTGACGGGAGGACGTTAGTTTGTGTCCTCCCGTTACCCTAAGGAGAACTATGGGGAAAAGCCCTAACCCCATAGTTCTCCTTTAAGGTATACCTGGTAATTTCAAACTTAACCTAAAAGAAATCAAATAGGTGAGCAGAAGTTACTCTTGGGTCGAAACAATCAGTTAACCCCTTTGGATCTGCAATATGTATATTAACATTCTCTTGCATGATGCCCCTTGCAGAGGGAAATGTTAACTTCTATTTTGAAATGAATGGTGCGTGCTTGTACCGACTAAAGTCCTATCTTTAAAACAAGATGTAAAAATGATTTAGGAAGACACAGTAGTCAGAGATGGGGCCTGTGTCGATGGCATCATTTTAAGACACATCTGAATTCACCGATATGTACATCTACCTGCAGATGTCCTCTTTTTGACCTGCTTTCAGCACTAGTATGGCAATGCTAAATCCATTTGATGCAAACACAAGCCTATTGAAACAAGTATTTTATGTACACATACTCCTAAGCATTCGATGGGGTTACGTTCCGATAAACCCATCGTAAGGTAATCATATCACAAGCAAAGGACTTTTATATACACAAGACACATCAACACTTTATTATAAAATACTAGGAATGCACCGATACTAAGGATTTCGGCACGTACTTGTACTCAACCAAATGCTCCGATACCGGAACTTCCGGTCAGAGGGAGATCTCCCTCTGACTGGCAGTGCCGAGGGTGTATGGAGCCGGCTTCCTTTCCTGATTGGCTAGGAACCCAGATTCACTTGTTGCTAGGCAGCCCGGCTTCCTAACCAATCTGGAAGCAGGGCGGCAGGTAATGACCTGCCTCCCCGATTGGTCAGGAAGCCAGACTACATAGGAACAAGTGAAGTTGGTTTCCCGATTAGCTAGGAAGCCAGCTTCACCTGTTGATAGGCAGCCCTGACCAATCAGGAAGCCGGATGGCACCTCATGACCCGCCGTCCAGCTTCCTGATTGTTCAGGGAGCCAGGCAGCCTGGGCAAGTGAAGCCGGTGTTCTTTTGATAGAACACCGACTTCCCAAGCAATCAGGAAGCTGGGCCATGATCTGCCGCCCGGCTTCCTGATAATCAGGGCACAAAAAAATATTGGTACCAGATACAGAGAAACCGGTATCGGTGCAGCCCTATAACATACAGTAGCCTTTTGTCCATCTGGAGGTTACTGTAAATGTTTTAGCCAATTTTAGGGTAGGCTAGGCTATGATATACAATATATAGAATACAACCAACCGCATGACAGACTGAGGACCCTGCTTCTGCTATCATGTGCCATTATAAAGAGGAAAAATCGTAAACCGATCTAATGGAATCCGAGGAGCATCTGTAGACAAATATGCAAACTTAACTTGTACTTTTCCTGTAAAAGCAAGGTTTGGATTGCACCCTCCCACTGGCCCTTTAATATAACGGGTCACCTCACTAATATAAAAGACCAGGAGAGTACAGGGCCAGGCATTTTTTTTTTTTTAAAAGGAAAACCGTAAATCAAGATTTAAATACCCCAGCTGCCTATAAATCCAGATCTACCGATTTAGAAAAGTGGTTTTTACTGTAGGTAACCTCTGCATAGGTATTTTTCATCGAAAGCGCTGTTTGTAGCAGGTTTACTTGAGTATAATCCTTGCTTGCATAGTAGACAATTAGATCTTTGCTTACGATTTGACATATGTCACGTATTCTAAGGTAAAGGTGGGCAGATTTTGGTCTTTTGTTTGAAAAGCCGTGCTCATCATTCAACCTTGACTCATAATGGATGCAATTCTAACATTTAATTTCATAATTGTTTGAGTGGACAGATTATTATCAAAACAATGTTCTAGAATCTCCATAAAACTCAGAAGGTATTAGACAAGAGAGGACCAATTTGTCGCTTTTATTATCTGATGGAACAATTGCTCTGTACATAAAATAAGTTGTATTTCCTTAGTGAAGATCATCATTGAGAGGTTGCCATAATTCCAGAAACACCTGCAGGGAGAGAAGAAACATGTTCTTAGTAAATGGAAGACTGAACAACCTTTATTTGATTTGGCTTTTCATTCCTTGTACTTGTACTCACCCAAGTGCTTCAAAACTTATCCTGATAGAGAAAATCTTCCTCTGACCGGCAGTGCCATGAGGGAACATAGAGCCGGCTTCCCGGTTATGACTTGCAGTCTGGTTTTCTAATTGACCGGGAACTGGGCTCCATGCTGATTGGCTGGGAAGCCGGCTTACCAGCTAATCAGCATGGAGCCGGCTTCCCGGGAAATCAAGAAGCCAGGCAGCGAGTAATGACACGCTGCCCGGCTTCCCGGGAAGCCAGCTCCATGCTACCGGAAGTACCGGTACTCTGTATTGGCGAGTACCTTAAAATATAAATACGAAAAAACTAATTACTACCCTTATTGCACTAGCTGTTTCCCTTTTATTTTTCTCTCGTGGGTTTTAGCAAGAATTTAACTTGAATGAGGCCCTGCGGGGGCGTTCAGCCTAATAATGAAATGTGAACCTGACCTGGTGTAAAACATTTACAAAGTACCTGCGTTTGCCGTTAAACTTTTTCCTGTGTCCCTGTAGAGCCCCTTGGATTCTAAACCTACACTATACATGAGGTCTTAACTTCTGCCCAAATCGAGATTAGTGGGGATATGACATCAAAGTGACACTAAACTCAGGAGTTAAACCTTCAAAATGCATTCAAGTACCTTAACTATTAACAAAAAAATGTATCTTATTTGGGTAACACTCGGCTAGTTTACTAATTTGTATTGAGATTGTAGTCCATCACAGGAGTGAGCTTGAAAAGGAATTGGATAGGAAGCGCTACTGCCCTATTAGTTGTAAATATAAACATAGATGTATTGTATAGATATAGACACAAACACAAGTGTATGGTGATAAATATGGTGATAATAACACATATGTATTGAACCCAATTGGATTGTAGTGACCAACAAAAATAAAAAGGGAATTGGGAGAAATTATTCACTATTTGCCGATTCGTGTGACCAGTGTGAGGCGGCGTAGACTCGTGGTGTGACATCAGTGAGGGGCTGGGAGAGAGCTGTCCAAGGACTACGCGTTTCGAGGCCAGTGCCTCTTTCTCAAGCTTCCCACTCCGGCTTGAGAAAGTCTACGCCACCTCAAACTGACAGCGAGACACAGTGAGCCGCGGCTGCAGAGACTCAGCGGGTTTCCCCCGCTTGACTCTCACTTGAGCCGTCGGGCTCAGCCTGGCCAGCTAAGACCTGGCGACTCTCCACAGGGACATCCCATGTTACACCAGCCCCAGACGGAGACCATTCCACTAACGTTTTTTTACTCCTGATAGGCGTCCCCCTGGACAGAGTAACGCCTATCCCACTAACCACCAACGAATCAGCAAATAGTGAGTCATTTCTCCCATTTCCCTTTTTATTTTTGTTGGTCACTACAATCCAATTGGGTTCAATACATCTGTGTTATTATCACCATATTTATCACCATACACTTGTGTTTGTGTCTATATCTATACAATACATCTATGTTTATATTTACAACTAATAGGGCAGTAGCGCTTCCTATCCAATTCCTTTTCATTGTGCACAAGCAGGGTCCCTCTCCCGGCCCTAAGGAGGCAGCACGCCCCCTACCACTAGTTACTTAAACACACCTCACATCTCACCAGAGTAGTGCGCCGGCCCAAGTGGCTCCGTCGGCTAACGAAGGGAAGAGGAGTACGGTGACGTCACGGACATCGACGTCACCGGACTCCTCCCCCCTTCCCTTTGTTAGCCAACGGAGCCACTTAGGGACATCGACGTCACCGGACTCCTTCCCCCCTTCCCTTCGTTAGCCGACGGAGCCACTTGGGGAAGGAGTCCCTGTGAAGTCGATGTCCGTGACGTCACCAGATCTCCGACGGAACTCCCTGAAGCCGGCGGGGAGGTGAGTACTGATCAAAACATTTTTAATCGATCCAAAAAATTTACGATTAATCGAGGAATTAATCGTTAATTTCCGCAGCCCTAGTTTTTGAATGTATCTTTAAGATGATTTCACTTCTAAGTTTAGGGTCACTTTAATTGATTCCTTTCTTCATGCTTCTGCATGTTCAAGCTCTGAGAGTACTGGGGAAGATGGTGTACAATAAGACGGCATGCACGAATGCTGATACACTTACTGTCAAAGTCGATCTTTTCCACAATGTTTTTTGGTTTGATGTTCTCCTCCTGGTTACATATGAAGATCTTGCCGTTGTCGGCTTCCGTCCAGCCGTATTTGCTCATCCATACTCTGAGCTGGGGCTCTGGTAAAAAGGAGACACAGGAATTAAATATTTTTTCAATCATTACGTAGTCTCTGGAAATGGGGTTATGTGTATGTTTAAATACTGCCAGTATAGTCATCTGAAATCTAATCAGACTATTACAACGCACAGTGCTATCATCTTATCATGCTTCTGGCACTCAGGGCAGAAACTGCACACAGAAGACTTAAATCACTGTAATAATAATACTCATCCTTAAGCAGGCCATAGAAGACTCAAATTCTGGCCACAACTCGAGCCATGGGGGACCCTGCATGCACTGCCAAGGTCAGCAAAAGTGGATTTAAAAATCGATGCAAAGTACCAACCTGAACAACGCATGCAACAGTCAAGCTGTACTATGCCCTTTATTTAATTGTAGCCTCGCTCCCCTTGGAGATAAGAATAGCACAGGGCCTCATGATGCTCTCCAGCATCCACCACCTTTGTGACCCTAACCTTACCAATCTTTTGGAAAGGATAGCAGTGTACCCATATGGATTTCAAATGTATATTTAGCTTGTTTTCACACTTATATAATGGTGGACACTTAGATGTGTTTCTGGGTACTATAAAGTTTGTGATCCTCAAACAACTACTAGTGGAACACATCTTACTGTCCTCTTATGGCAAAACATAACTCCACTTTAGCATTTTAGGAGTGCTTGCTGTACTAGGAAAGATGCACTATATCCTGTTTTTTACTGACATAGTCCAACCTCCATCAACAGGTTCTAGTGATTACATACACACTCATAGATTAGTAGCAGCAATACATCTTCTGAACAGACAAATACCCAATATTCAGCAAAACCAGAGCTTTGGTTTTAAGTGGCAAACAAGCCACTGCCACTAGTGCAGTTAATCCTTGTTTTCACTGATGTGTCCCTCATGCAATGTCTACTTTACACTAGCGGCTCAAATTTAAATTTTGTAAATATTATTTTTCTAGCAGTCTCATTTGTCTGCCGACAGATCTGCACTCCTCAGGACTGCGAGAGCCATAGAAATAAAGGCAGGTGTTTCTAATCCATTATCCCAAAAAGGCTGATATTTGGAATGATTTTAACAACATACCTGACAGATCTCCAAGCATCTCAGCTAAAAGCCACCGGTCTATGTGCTGGTATGTGATCCCCACAACATGGCAGATGACTGCAAAAAAGACACAGGGATAAAATAATCAGGATAAAGGCACTGCAACATTTAACTCAGCCAACAGATTCACTACCCAGCATATCTTCCCTTCTTACTGAACTTGGGGCCCATTCAAACAGTGATCCAGCCAAATTAGAAATATGGTAGCTGCCATTGGTGACCAGTTTTCAAACATGGCAGGGAACAATGTCATGATCCTGGCTGCTTTAGTGAGTGAGTGACTTTGACCAAGGAGGCAGTCATGTAACTCTGAATAGCCTGAACTTTCCCCCTGCGCACCCTGTGCCACGTGCATGCAGGCCTATAGAGTAAAATAACAAAGTATTCCCATGCTCCTGTTAGGCCGAGGAAACACAAAAAACTGAGGCATGCTGGGGGTAAGCGCCCTTTTATTTGGTGTATGTGATGTGTTTCCTGTTTCAGGTGGGAGGAGACTATCTCAGATGATGTCCTGGAAGATTACTTTGGAAAACCTGACAGCACTGAAGCCATCGTCTGTAAAAAATGGCAGCGCCTGCCAATCTATCCTCACAGATTCACTTTAGAAAGCACAGGTTTTCACACGTATTATCAGTTACATCTTTCAAGTGTCCTGGCACAGGTTAGGCTCACTGGAGACCAGTTCCTTATAGTGGTCACAGGTGGCCAAGTATCGCACAGAACATAGTAAAAGGTGATCGATCTGTCTCAATGAGATTATGGCACTGCTAGGACTTATTAGATGTTTGCCATCAACAAAGCCACGAAAATGCAAGGTTAAAAAGGGAAAAAAGATATGACGAGATTTTTCAGAATGTTGGAAGCTCTAGCACCTCTGATGTTATGCTAAACCTAATAGAAATATATAGTCCATATATACTCCACACTGTCTTACTTACATTTCCTCACAGAGTCCTCAAAGCCAGCAACACCATCAAGGAGATCGAGATTCTCATCCAATGCTTGCTGGGGTGAAAAAATGAGAGAGAGCCAGGAAATAAGTAATATGAGCAGAGAGTACAGCATGCAAGTATGCTTCTGAAACACAAACCCCCCATCCAACTATATATGCATAACCCTTAGCCTGAACCTAACATAAAATTTACACCGTCATGGTAAGAAGTTGTGCTATAGAAGGTTTAGCACATATTTACAATGTGTGTGAAACAATATCCATTAACCCATAGCTACCAAACATCTGTTTGCTCTGTACTGTGCAATAAAGTACTACACATCTCAGAAGCACAGCAAAGCAGAAAAGGCAATCTCACAAGAACACCTTTGACACATGTCCATCCAATTGTCTGCACTGACCTCCATACCAATTTTTATGGGGCTGATTTATAAAGTGTTCGCCCAGGGTATAGCTTCATCTTTTCAGCTCCTTGGCTCCATCAAGTGGCAGTAACGCACTGCAAGCATCATTTACTCAGCTATACGCTGGGTGAACACTTTATAAAATCAGCCCCAATGTAATCCAAATCTGGCAACCGTGAAACTTCATATAGGAAAAGAAAAACTTACCCAAAAAGACTGAAAGTGACAGGTTTCTAGAAGGTCTCCTAAATACAGGATCTGTCTGATTGGACGGTCTTCTTGCTGAATGTTGGCAAGTTAAGGAGATTTAAAACAAGAATAATGAATGCACCCAGTTCTAATATATCTCTCTATTTAAAGTGACCCCAATATTATTTTTTGCCATCTTATCTAACAGTACCTGTGCGGAGAGGCAGTTGCAAGTTTGTTTATTGTGCCTTCTCTGGTCACAGCTCTCTAGGAATAGCTAGCAATACAGCATAACAATTGACTTTACAGCTAGTCTACACCGATACAATGACATTTCTCCTTTGCCAAGGCTGGACTTTTTCGCTGACTGCTCCACTTACTGAATTTCATGTATTGCAGTTCCGGCTTCAGAATGTAAAGTCAGTTTTTACACACTGCACAGGTACTGCTGGAAATAAAAGCACAAGAATTTGCAAGGGTCACTTTAAAGTGGAACTAAACGTACCTCCCTCGCCAGCGCTGACATCTTCTGGTCTTCTTCCGAGTTTGCCATCCTCAAACATGTTAACTGGGTGGTCTGGAGTGACATAACTCCTGTGCATGCACATCCTGGCATGGAGCCATTCCCAAGAGTATACACTTTATAGATTTTTGCAGGCAGAAACATAAAATGCAAAAAAGACAGAGGGGGATTTATCAAAACTGGAGCAGACAAAATCTGGAGCAATTGCCCATGGCAACCAATCTGCTTCTTGCTATTTAAAAAAAAAGTAAAGTTCTGTTTTACTTTTAATTGCAAAGCATGAGAAGCTGAAAAACAATGCAAATTCCACCATGTCCAGATTTTACTCTCCCTACATTTATCAGAACTTAACATTATATATTTTATTAGACTGGGAAAGGTTAGAATCTGACAGGATGTGGGGAGATTTAACCTCACTTCCTGTCCAGAAACAATCGGAACAAGGATAGAAAAATAAGGGAAATGATGAGACATTAATGACCCTACAGAGGTTATCAACTAATTCTACTTGTATGAAAACCCTAAAAGAAAGGTTTGGCTAAAGGAAGAACTGCCTCAGATCAACACTTGTGCTTCCAACACAGCAGGAAAGAATCTCTTTTCTATGGGCCATCTAGATTCTCTGGGACGTATCCTCTTCCACATTTGAAACCACGTTGTATCTACCACACAATTCATATTAAACACATGTTAAAGTTTTGTTTGTCTGCATTTCTCTTTTTCTGAGAGTAGGAGGATACATGAGCCTGGTCGATCATACACTTGCAGAGCGTGAAGTCTGTGTGTGGAAGGTTGGTCAGAGCTTTGAGGAGGACCTGTGCGGTGACGGTCGTCTGGAAGAAAGCGGGATTGAACTGATAGCTGCAAAAACAAAAGATAGAAACACTCAGAGCTCTTATCCTACCAAAGTATTTGATATACTTAACTAGAGTACAGGTAAATAGGACTGTTATTTGCAGCAGCCAATTAGATGCTTGCTCTCACCAGCAATATGTAGTATAGTATTACACTGTGCTAGCCACTGATTGCTGCAGAAAGTTTGGAGTTTAGGTGATATCCCTTTACTGATGAACTATAGTTATTAAAGATGCAAGTTTTTAGGGTTAAGTTTCCTCTTTAAAGAAGAACTCCAGGAAATATTATAAACCCTTGCAGTGGGGCTACCCCTGCACTGTAAGTGTTAAGTGCCCCTTTGTGTTTAGGTTCAAAAAAAAAAAAAAAAAAAAAAAAAAGTTATACTAACGTGAAACTCCGAGCCAGCTTCTTTCTAGACCAGTCCTTCTAGCGCCTCTCCCCTCCTCTGCAGCAGTCTAAGGTCCCGTAAATCATCACAGTGTATAGACGTGAGGACGCTGAGGAAAATTCCAATGCTGCTGGAGGAGGAGAGAGTCTGGAGGGAGCGTCGTGACAGCTGGCTCGGAACCTCGGGTGAGTAAATAACTGTTATTTCTGCTCCCTAGACAAAATGAGCAAAACCCTTGCCAGAGGAGTAGCCCCACTTCAAGGGTTAATCAAAATATTGCCCTGAGATCTAACTTACGCATGCAACACCTTCCTGCTCCATTGTGATGCTTATTAAGTGTAATGTTTTAAGGCAACTCATTCATTTTGAAACAGCTACCAACACATAGCAAGGGTTGAAAATTGGACCCGACACCCCCACCCCCCCTTTTTTTTCCCTACAATGCACAGTGGTGTGCTACAGGCTACTGTAGTTGTGCACTGGAGTGCCATTCTCAATGAACGTCACTGCAAATCATCATTCAAAACACTGCACGTGCACATGTACAGGTGTGCAGCCAATCTAATATATCATCTGTTGGAGGAGATTAATACAACCCATCTAGCTCAGCCCTATACGGCCTGCAAAAGACTGACTGGCAATGTTTCTTTGTCTTTGCAGTACTCTGAATTAGAAAAGTAGTCGGGGACCTGACTGAAATTTTTTGCCCGAGACGCCAAGGTTTTTGTTTTTTTCTTGCAACATGTCAAGACTGATTACTTGTAGAACGTAACTTACAATTAACATAGTGCATGGAATGATGAGAATACATACAGTTTTAGCACTGCTAGGTTGGCTTCCAGGTCATATGCGTTTTCCTTTGCCTGGGTCTCCACATAGCGTTCTAGAGTAGCAAGATTTTCCGGATTGTACCTGTGGATGAAAGACAGACAACAAAAAGGTATTAAAGAGGTTCCCCGGCTATTTATTTTAATATAATAAGAACATCAGCCAAAAAGCAAAATTCATCTTTAGGACACACATGTGAAAACTGTTTTAGCTCCTGTAAGGCACGGCTGCATTTCAGCAACATAGATTTAACTTGGCCCCAACGCAGGAGAATTCGACCCTTCTCTTTTACAAAGCAATGCATTGTGGTGTGCTGTAGCACAGGTGCATTTTGTAGAGGAGTTTCGGTGCTATTCAAAATGAAAAGCAAAGGGATTGCTGAGATTGGGGTGCTGCAGTAACGTTCATACCCGCAACGTGACAGTGTACCGGCTCTCACATATGATTCTTGTGAATCACAAACATGCCAAAAACCACAGCCAGGTTCTGTCTTTCACTGCACATTACAATATATATATAAATAAAACCACTTCAGCTCTTGTACCTGGATATCCCTTACTAGAGCAATTAGAAGAAGCAGGTTACAAAATATTGTACAGTCACATCGGTCCCTGCCCTCCAGGAGCTTACAATGTATGTGTGTGAGCTAGGGACCTTAGAATATAAGCTCCTGGAGGGCAGGGACTGATGTGACTGTACAATATGTAAAGTCCTGCACAAATAAATACCTGACCTCCTGGTGATCCTGCCACCAAGGTCCTTGTTTAGGCATTTCCTGTCATGGAGAGACAACGCTCTGTCCCTGTCAACCTATTGTGCTCCTGCATTGTCACTCTGCCATACAGGTCTCTGATGCAGAATACGATTGGCTATTTCAACGCACACTATGCAAGCAAGGTCTGCTGTTGTCACCATCTTGAAACCCACCCTGAGGAATGACAAGCAGCCATTATTGGGGTGTACGTAGAAATAAAAGTGGCTGTAAAAAGGATGCAGGAGATCAGAAGGAGCAAAAAAAAGTAGTAAACATGGCATTTGTTTATGGCACACAGTGTCATTCAATTGAGGTTTACATCTGCATTACCACAGCCCATTATGACAGCCTTTGCAACTGTTAAAGCAAACACCAGATCTCACATGATGGCATTGGGAACCATTATTTATACACTATATTGCCAAAAGTATTGGGACACCTGCCTGTACACACACATGAACTTTAATGGCATCCCAGTCTTAGTCCGTAGGGTTCAATATTGAGTTGGCCCTTTGCAGCTATAACAGCTTCAACTCTTCTGGGAAGGCGTCCACAAGGTTTAGGAGTGTGTCTATGGGAATGTTTCCCCATTCTTCCAGAAGCGCATTTGTGAGGTCAGGTACTGATGTTGGACGAGAAGGCCTGACTTGCAGTCTCCGCTCTAATTCATCCCAAAGGTGTTCTATCGGGTTGAGGGCAGGACTCTGTGCAGGCCAGTCAAGTTCATCCACCCCAAACTCGCTCATCCATGTCTTTATGGACCTTGCTTTGTACACTGGAGCGCAGTCATGTTGGAACAGGAAGGGGCCATCCTCAAACTGTTCCCGCAAAGTTGGGAGCATGAAATTGTCCAAATATCTTGGTATGCTGAAGCCTTAAGAGTTCCCTTCACTGGAACTAAGGGGCGGAGCCCAACCCCTGAAAAACAACCCCACACCATAATCGCCCCTCCACCAAACTTATCACTTGGCTCAATGCGGTCAGGCAAGTACCGTTCTCCTGGCAACCGCCAAACCCAGACACGTCCATCGGATTGCCAGACAGAGAAGTGTGATTGGTCACTCCAGAGAACACGTCTCCACTTCTCTAGAGTGCAGACAGTCGGCGACTTCTGCGCACTGTGCGCTTCTGCATGGGCTGACCCCGCTCTGTCATTTTCCCAGTTGCTTCCACTTTACTACAATACCACTAACAGTTGCCCGTGGAATATTTAGCAGCAAGGAAATGTCACGGATGGACTTATTGCACAGGTGACAACCTATTACGGTACCACGCTTGAATTCACTGAGCTCCTGAGAGCGACCCATTCTTTCATAAATGTTTGTAGAAGCGTCTGCATGCCGAGGTGCTTGAATTTTTACACCTGTGGCCATGGAGGTGGTTGGAACACCTGAATCCAATGATTTGGAGGGGTGTCCCAATACTTTTGGCAATATAGTATTTCAGCTGCTTCTTAAGGTGCCCATACACCTTACAATTGTCTGCAGATTTTCTGTGGTCAGATGGAACAGATTGTCCCATGTGGAGATTACTCCATCCACACAGTTAAGTGTAGATGGAGGAATCTGTTGCACCTTTTCCATCTGACGATAGAAAATCTGCAGATAATTGTAAGGTGTATGGCCAGCTTAAGGAAGAGTGTAAGGCAGTGTAAACCCCATTGACAGGTTCTCAGTCTGTGTGTGTAATATAAGGGAAGCCCTGTACACGCTGGCCGTACAGATGTAGACAATGGCCACCTCTGGCCTTACATATTTACCTGTCGATACCCCGCAGTAATTTCCCCACATTTGCTCTCATCTGTTCAAACGAGGCCATGTTGCTTGAAAATTGGTGAAAGAGACCGGAAAAGGAACCGGGCACACACTTCCTGTTTCCGCACGACGCCAGGAGCTGGCAAATCTTCCGCCCACACTTGGTTTACGTGCGTCTGACGTCACTCCATGAGTTCGGGGAATGGAAGCACAAAGATGGTGGCGGGCTTAGATTTGAATACAAAGCAAAATTGGGGACTCTTTCTGGTTCCAGAGGCCTCGTTTTATGAGAGTCCAAGCTGGAGATGTCAGTCTTCGGTAAATTAGCTGAAACCTTGTCCTTGGTTTTAAGTTATGAAGAAAAAGGAATAATATGAGTTATGTTGCCCATAGCAACTAAAGATTGATAATCGCAGCTGAAAATAATCTGCAATATCTGTAAATTAAGTGGCAATCTTCAGGGTGACTAGCAAGCTAGTAAACTAACACAATGGGGCTAAATTACCAAGGGGCAGTTCATATAAGGGTGGTCCACTGCTGTGCCTTTTAGCCCCCATTCACACCTGAGCTTTGTGTTGCCTGTAGCTCAGAAAATTAGTTTTTCGTGCAATTTCGCACCTAACAACCATCTCCCTGTAACTAGCTTTTCATTGGCTAAAACACAAGCCTGGAAAATGTGCAAAAATAAAAGTCAGTTGCCTAAAACGATTGCGCTGAAGTGTGAATGGTGACTAATGCATGCAGGGCAATGTACAGTGTGCGCAGGCACTAAAACACATACATCGCTCCCTTAGGCTTCATTCAGATGGGGAGCAGCATCCATTGCCCCTCTGAAAATCGATTTGTGCTTTTCACTGGGCGGTAGAGAAGCCATTTTATTTTCCTGTCCCAACCGCATGGCCCTATTGATTGCAATGGTTACATTTCCCCAGCGGCACTGACTGCCAAATGCAACACGCTGCTTAGAATTTGCTGCAGCCATTGCATGTGTACAAATGGCAGCAATGTTAAGATTTAGGTGGGTGGTCAGGAGGGGGTAAAAACGTGGATCAACCGCCTGTTTTCCTGCCCCTAAGTCACCCGCGTGAACCAGAGGAAACGGGCGACCGGCTAAAAATCACATCAGTTTTTTACTTCCTGGTCCACTTTGGCACAATTTATGTAATTGTGCCCAATCAATGCATTGTATAAAGGTTACATCAGCAGAGCATTGCTGGGAAATCTCATCTGTAATCTCACGCGATCTCAGGGAAAGGCATTTTCCTCCCCTGAGATGATGTGCATGGTCACATGTCCTAGTCACATGTGCCAGAGTTCCAGGAAGTAAAGGGAGATCTAGTAACCTACCCATAGTAAAAATGGCCTCTGTCAGAAGACTGGGGAACAGAAGAAAAATAAGGTATGCAAAGAATAAAAAGGTGTATTTGGTATTATTTTGAAGATATAGGTACCCCTGTAGATCTTCAGCGCTTCACACTGGGCAAAATACATACAAACCCCCTCTAGGCCATCCTGCAGGGCTTTTTGATTTAAATTACCTGGTTATACTCAACTAAGTCAGCTTTTCTGGTCCCTGGTTGCTACCTTCTCCTACTGTGGGGGGGGGCCGCTAATCCAGCGCTGCAGATGCATAAGAGACCAGCAGTCCCCTGGCACAAATGTCACTCCTCCTCTGGATCCAGAAAGGACCCACCGCTAGACAGTCAATAGGAAGTGTCCATGTCACGCAGACATTTACATTATCCTGGAGAGAGGCTTTAAAGTAGTGATTCCCAACCTGTGTAACCTCAGGACCCACATTTGTCCTTGGTCATTAGGTCATGACCCAAGTCGCACCGCACTGAAACGCATGGTGTTTTCCGGTGCAGGCGATCGGACTGTGGGTGGGAGGTGCATTTGAGGTGCCATTCAAATGAATGGCAATGTGACACACTTTCCACACCAGAATGCGCGGTAGGTGCAATTTTGGGTGGTACAGCGCGTTAATCGCACTGTACTACTGTGACCGGGCCCTCAAAAACACGCACAGACACACACAAGCACATACACAATCTCACACACTCAGAAATTCTTGCACACATACAGGCATGCAGGGACCCACTGAACATGGGGTCGTGACCCACTTTTAGGTCACGATCCACCAGTTAAGAACCAAGGCTTTAGGGTTCGTTCACCTTTTAAACAAAAAAATAAAACAAATCCCTAAAGACTCATCTCTTCAGGGAAGCCTATCCCACCTCAAACTAACCACTTAACCATCACATTCTCAAACAATTCATCCCCACACAGCTACCTCCTCATGTATCATTTCCCCCTCCCCTTTAGATTGTGAGCCCTCGGGGGCAGGGCCCTCCTTACCATCTTGTCTTGAATTGTATTGTAATGTCTTCTGTATATTGTAAAGCGCTGGGGTTTTAGGTGGACTGGCCCTTATCCCGTGTAATAATCTCTTCTGATCCTTCCTAAGATTCTCATTGGTCAGCTTAGTCATCTTTTTTTGCTATTAATTAATCCGGAGTACGGACTGCTTTTAGTTGTGGTAAGGCAGGAGGTGCGTTGTGTCATTCAGAGTTACAACATCGCATTGATGTGATTGGGCCCTAAAGGAATAAAGATATGCGGGGGCCTGGTGTGAACGCAGTTCACCCAAGCCCGCACAGACTGTAACTAACATACCCCTCCCAACCCAATCAGTTGGGCCAGGGGCATTCACAGCCCCATTGTGACATATAGTTGCAGGGTGGGGAATGCCCCTAACGCAACTGATTGGGTTGGGAGGGGGATGTCAGTCACACAGGGTTATTCACATAAGGGTGAAGTGTTTGGAGAGGGCAGGAGAAGTGAACAATCTAGGACAACATAGCTGATTTGGAAAGAATCTCCAATTCAGCTCACTTTCCAGTTCAGCTATGATGTCCTAGATTGTTCACTTCTCCGGCCTTCTCCAAACACTTCTCCCTTTAGTGAATAGCCCTGGCAGGTTTGGGCAAGCTAGGTTTGCACCAAGCCCCCTGCATATCACTGAGAAAGTCTTTTGACCTAGTAAGGTGAACATTCATTTTGGAGTGTGTGTATAGTTTGTGAATGGTGGTGAATGTTCACTTTGCACAGGCAGGGTATATGTACATGGGTGTTGTTGTCCTTGTTTCGAACGCAGGTCAGCAGAGCAGGTAATGCAGATTACAGTTCAGAGGCTGCATTTGACCCGCTTTAAATGTATCAGCTGCAACATGTCCCATTGAGGTGCGTTTGGATTGAAACAATGCAGGTCAGATGTGGCCTTTTCTTGTCAAATGTTGCTGTGACATAGATCAGGATTATTGAATGCTAAAGTAAAATCAGCAGCCTCAAAGCATGCGTTACATCAGGTAAGCAACTTTGACCCCCCCAGCTGTGGCGAAACTACAAATCCCGTCATTCCTCTGTCTCCGGGAGTCATCCCTGTGGCTGTCAGAGTCTTCCAATGCCTCATGGGACTCTTGTAGTGTTGAGGAAATCACAGCACAGAAGATACACGCTGCAATCTTTGTGGAGAGTGACACTTGATATCACATAAGATGTGACCCATCCAGTCTGCGTACTCGCATGGATGACAGCGTACAGCCGCATCCTCCCATAGGGAAGAACAAGCTGCTGCGCGCAATGACATACAGCACCTGTCCCTCCCGGGAGCGGCTGTTTACAGGTGTGCACGCCCAGTGTGTATGATGCCTAACAAACTTTATTGCTGTCTGTGTCCTTGCTAGAAAGACAGAGGCAGCCATAAAATTGTGTTTTTATTCTATTGATGTGCGTTGCTGTTGGTGTTCCTCAGGACATGAAGCGAGAGGACATTTCTCCATCACGCAGGAAGGGAGGGAAATACTTCTGTACATGGTCACAGGTAACAAAGAACAAAACTGGACAGGGTTTTACCCTTTCTGATTTCAATAAAGAACAACAAAAACAAGGTTGAAAACAATGACACATATATCATTTTTATTAATACGAGTCACAACTCAAACCGCTCTGCTTACAAAACACATAGAACTCTGTTAAAGCTCATGAAACCAAACAGTATTATAAAACCAGTAAAAAAGAAGATTCCAGTTAAAGGCAAACTGGCCTATTCTAGTGCAAGTACAGTTGAAGGTGAGCTGGGATGTAAAGCAACGTACAGCATCATCCTCCATGTACTACAATAAATATTCTCCAGGAGTGCGCAGCGCACTTCCTGTTATAATCCTTTAGAGGTAATGTAAGCTCCTCACACGCATAACCGTTATGCTGTATGTCTGTCTATTGCTTTTCCTGCATGTTAAACATGAATAAGTCA